CCTGCTCGAAGACCAATGCCATCTCACTACTGAAGGCGGCGCCCCTCCTCCTGCAGGGCCTCCTCCAGCGCGTCCAGCCCAAGGCGGTCGGCGGGGTTCGCGCTCTGACTCCTGGCGAGCCACTGCGCCAGCGCCCCTCCGCGTCGGGAACAGCGGGGCCAGGAGGAAGCCGACGCTGTAGACGTCGGTCGCGCTGGTGGACTCGCCCAGCCCTCCGCCGCACATCTCGGGGGCGTAGTGCTTGTCGGGTCGTCGGTGAAGGTGAGTTGGGAGCCGGTCTTGAAGGTCATCCCGAAGTCGATCGCGGTGACCTCGAGGCCGCCGGGGGTCGGGCGCACGCAGAGGTTGTTGCCCTTGAGGTCGTTGTGCACGAGGCCGTGCGAGTGGATCGCCCGGGAAATCTTGGCCACCTGAAGGGCGATGGAGACTCTCTGCTGAGGGAGCACCTCGGTCTGCTGCAGGTACACATCCAGGTCGGGGCCGGCGTACTGGGTGACCAGCACGAACCGCCTGGGGCACAGGCCCACGAGCCGCTGGACGCCCTCCACGGCCCTCAGAGTCCGCATGGTCTTGGCTTCACTGACGGCGCAGTTGAACGCGTCGTGGTCGAAGCAGAACTTGACGACGAGAGCCTTCGCCGGGTTGAGGAACGCGACTCCGCACTACCCTTCGCCCAGCAGCACGGGCCTGGGGCCAAGGGCGGCCCTGGCAGCCCGGACTGGCCACAACGGCAGGGCGGCCTCCCGACACTCCTTCTTCAGGTACCTCAGCTGCCTCTTGGTCGGCCTGGTGACGTCCGGGTGAGGCAGCCTCATGCTGTCCTTCCAGTCCTTCGCGGCGGGCGGCGCCTCCTGCGGGACTTCGTCGTCCTGCAGTCTTGGCCGCTTCGAGCTTGGTTCATGAAGGTCATCCTCGGAGGCGTTGCGCTCGCTTTCTCGCGCGGACGCCATCGCTAATGGGTCCTTTGTGCGGGCGGGAGGAGGCCCTTGGCTCGGGTAAGGATCTTCGTCCTGCGAGGGCGTGCTTTTGTGAGCGACTTTGTGTGCGACGTGTGTGTGTATGTGTCAGTATGTGCGTACACACACACACACACACATATATATGTGTGTGTGTGTGTGTGTGTGTGTGTGTGTGTGTGTGTGTGTGTGTGTGTGTGTGTGTGTGTGTGTGTGTGTGTGTGTGTGTGTGTGTGTGTATGTGTGTCGTGGGTGTGTGAGACAGTAAATATGTAATAATAATAATACGACAATAATACACCACCACAACCACCAACGATAACAATGTTAACATCATACCAATAACAACAACAGCACTAACAACAACATAAACACGTAACTAAAACGAAGCAGGAGACACAGGAGAAAAACCGAGGAAGACCAATAAAAAGGGAAAAGAAGAGACAAAACCAAAGAACCCTCAGCCGAAGGAGACACGAGAAGGATCGAAGCAAAAACAACACGAGAATCGCAGGATTGGTTTTTTTACACACACACACACATACATACATATACAGACAATACAGACACATACATGCAGACATACACACACTATCACAAACGGAGAGACACATACACACACACATTCACACTAACACAAACACACAGATACCAAACACCACACATTCACACAAACACACACACACACAAACACACACACACACACACGCACACACACACTATCACAAACACAAACACACACACACATATGTTTATATCTATCTATATCAGATATAACTATATGTGCAACAATCTACCTCCTGTAATATGTCAACATGTTTTATACAAAAAAAAAAAAAAAAAAAAAAAAAAAAAAACGTAAAAAAAACAAAGGGTCTCGACTATTCATTAATTGGATTACAACTAATGAGCAGCTTTAAAAAAACGGCTTAAAATTCGTTATATAGACTCGGACGACGAAGCAAAACAAATCTCGTGATGGATAATGGAATTCCGCTGTTTCGTCAATTTTGAGAATAATTTTGAGAAAAGGGAGATTCGCCCAAATGTTCCGGAGACAGAAAGAAGGGGAGATTGAGATTCTTAATTTTTTATCTTGCCCTTCCCACTCAAAAAAGTACACACGCACACACGAACACATACATACATACATACACACATACACCTACACACACACACCCACATACATAGATACATACACACACGCACACATACATACACACACGACACATACATATACACACACACACACATACATACATACCATACATACATACATACATACATACATACATACATACATACAACACACATACATACATACACACACACACACACACATATATATGTATGTCTGTATGTTTGCATGTATGTATGTGTGTTATATATGTATGTGCATGTGTGCGTGTGTGTGTGTTTGTATATACAAAAAAAAAAAAAAAATAGTAAACAATAGCAAATATACGAAACAAAATCAGACCCATAAAACAAAATGACAGCAACATCAACACACATAGAAAACAGAACCAGAAAAAAGATCCAAA